TCAACTGGTTTAAATGAGTTTCCATTTCTTTATTAAAAAAGCGCGCATCTGCTCTTATAAGCCCGGCAACTCATATTTTCACTTCTTTATGCATATGAATATTTCCAGAAACTTTTAAAAGAGTAAAATTTAATACACTGTTTTAAAAAAAGCATCAAAAATTCAATTCAAATGTTACAGGGTCAAATATATATAAAAACAGAAAGACTGTAACAAAAAATATTAATAACTTAACACTTGGGTATCCTTTTACTTTCTCGCTACGGAGTAGAGAGAAAGTTATGTAATGCTGCGCGAAAATAACTGCGAATTTTCGGCAAAAAAACTCTTAATACAAGGCCCTGGTAACGAAAAAGTGGATAAATTCAGCTGCCAAATTTTTAAAAAATCCTCTAACTGGTGGTGTATCCACAATCCATGTTTTGCGGCCCCTTGATGCCGAAAAATCGAATGACGGTAAAACGTCTGTCTGTCCGCCCGTCTGTGAACAACGTTAGCGGCTACATCGTTTAGTCGGTTTTCTCCAAAATTAACATTCACCAATCGATCTGAATAATGCCGCGGCCCCCTTGAATTTGAAGCCGATATTTTAATTTTCAGGGTTACTTTACATGGAGCCCCTGGGACATTTTCAAAACAATGGCTCCATCGTTTTTGATTAAATTATTTTCTTGGATAGCGTGAAGACTTCACGCCATCCAACAAAATAATTTATGAGAATGGTGCAGATCTCATGTTCGTTAAATCTCCTAAGTTTTTGAAAATTGCAAAAGTTCAAATTTTTTGGGAGTATTCCTACAATTAAAATATTAAAGATAGAAATGTCTTCCCTTAATGAAAATTTGAGTACTTTTCGCGTATTTTTGCGTGAAAATACTGGCATAATGTACGTGCTGTTTTAGGACCATTAGTTTTATTTTTAGACAGTGTACAGGTTTTCGAAAAATGTTTTATTTTTCATATAATATTAACGTTCTAACGTTTTAACGTTCTTTTACAAAGTAGAGTTTTAACTTCCTCTTTTCGTCTCAGCTTCTGTAGCTGTGCGACGAAGAAAAGCACAGACAGGCGGAGTTTGCTTGTTACGTTATATTCGCCACACGTCTTTCTTACCCCCAAGACTGGGAAGCTAGACCCAGGTATGGGGGCACCATTAGCTGCCGGCAAAGTCGGACAATTGACCCAAAATGCCAAATACATTCTTTCTTCCTTTCTGTGTTACCTTCTTTCGGTCTTTGTCTTACTTTACTCATTTTGACTTGCTTTCCTTTCTTCTTCTCCTCTACTTTCTTTGCTTCTGATTTTTAGATCATGAACAGATGCTCCCTTTTTTTATTTTTTTCACGAAAACATTCTTTCTTTCTATACTTATCATTCATTCCTTCTCATTCTTCCCTTCTTTATTTCCTTCTTTCTGGTTTGCATTTTTCTCTCTTTCTGTCGATCTGTTCTTTTTATCCTTCGTTCCTTTCGCCATTGCGTCGTTCTGACTTTTCGTCATAATGTCTGCACGAGTATGTCTGCACGCGTCTTCCTGACTGTATGCGTCTTTCTGTCTGTGTGTGTCTTTTTGTCTGTGATCGATTGAAAAGAAAATCAAGTGAAGAAAATCAAGTTAAAAAATCAAGTAAAAACAAAAACACATCAGTAAATGTAGCCCTCTTAAATTAATACATTATTTTTCTTCTCCGTACTAGTATGCCAGCTAGTAGCAAGTTCCAATTTCAAATCTTCATCCTTTGGTGTTTTTTCTTCTTTCCTTATTAGAATTGCGTTTGGGTTCTCACATTTGTAGATTCAAATTCGTATATCGGACATCGTTGGATGAAGTCATCCTTCGCAGATCTGCGGCTTGTAAAGGAAACTGAAGCCTAAATGGCGCCTCTCAACTAAATTATAATCCTAACCAAAGACGTTTGTCGGCTACTAGACGGAATTGTAATGATTCAGAGTTATTCGTAAGGCAGATTTCGTAGATAAATTAGAGGTCGTTAGATCTCCGGGGGTAAACAGCTTCTGCTTTACAGACACCGCAGAAAAAGGAGAGGCTAATGTGTTAAGTCCATTATTGCAATATAAAACAATGTATGATCATAGTTTTGCCCCAAAATTCTCATTCATTGCCTCACTGTTTATCCCAATGCCAATTGGATCGCTCTCGGATGATTCTAAGGCTTTCAGGGGCGGTGTTGTTCACTTACAGAAAGAGTGTGCTCATTCCACAGTAAGTCAGATATTCTTCGTACTCTTCACATTAATTATTCGTCACGTCTTAAAGTCCTTAGACTCATGCAAACCTTTGGTTAGAGAATTCTGAAATTCTGAAATCAGGATAGAACCAACACACTGTTATGTCAATACTCCAAATCAAACCGACGAATTAGTTACGCATAGAACATAATCTTAATAGTCGTTAACAAATAATATTCCAGTATCAAAGAATACTAAAAAAATGCTGATCTAACACATTTTTCAACTTTTTAACTGACAAAAAGTTAGAAGAGACTTAACTAATGGCTTCTTATTGTATCTTATTATTCCAGAACTGCTGAAAGTAAAAAGAAATAAATAAATCCTTCATCCTTACATTTTGAACTAAGTTTTCAATCACTGCGCAGTGACCTGAAAATGCTGTTAAAGGACGCTTGCATGCAACGGTGCTTCCGACATCAATATTCGGAGTATACGAACAGAACAGCGCACCGAACAAGATGAGAGAGCTCGGAAGCATAATTCATGCAATGCAATTGATTCGGAAATGTTTCCTTTATTTATTCATTTATTTATTGGCCTCAAGGTACAGAAGTTGCATTCGTATTTGACATACAATGAATAGCATCAAAAGAAAATAGCAGAAAGCACGAAAAAAAATATACAATTAAAACGAATAAAATGAAAATATAATAATGTGGGTGGAGAACAAAAGGAGGAAAAGGATGAAGGCTGAAGGGGGAAAAGAAAATTCAAAAATAATTCTAAGGAAGAATTGAGAGAGAGAGAGAGAGAGAGAGAGAGAGAGAGAGAGAGAGAGAGAGAGAGAGAGAGTACGAACAGAAGGGAAAAGAGGATTAAGAATCTAATGTTATTAGTAAGAGATATATGAGTAGAGCAGTGGAAAGGGAATGAATAAAGGGAAGAAGAGAAGAGAGGTCAAGGTGACCGTGAATAAAGAAGATATTTCCAAATAATTATTATAAATATAAAAAAATATTTAAAATGGAAGGTGAACAATGTTGTGCATGAAAATTTAAAGTTAATTGAATTCTAGAGAAACTTTCAAGGAAAGAGAAGGAAGAGAATTAAGTAGTGAATGAAATGGAGAAATATGAAACAATAGAGAGGACAAAGAGAAGAGAAGAAAGAAGAGAGCTTAGCAAAATGAGAGAGGATGTTCCAGAGAAAATGATGTAAATTGAGAAAGAATGAAGAAGTAAATGAAAACAATGGAATGCAAACAATGGTTTAAAATGGAACTTGATTAAAGAGAATTAAGTGAAGAATGAAATGGAGAAATATGGAACAATAGATAGAACAAACAGAAAAGAAGGAAGATGAGAGGTTAGCAAAATGGGAAAGGATGTTTTAGACAAAATGATGTAAGATGAGAAAGAAGGAAGAAGTAAATAAAAACAACGGAAGGCAAACAATGAATTAAAATTGAAAGTGATTAAAGAGAATGAAGTGAAGAATGAAATGGAGAAATAAGATACAATAGAGAGGACAGAGAGGAAAGAAGGAAGAAGAGAGGTTAGCAAAATGTGGAAGGATGTTCCAGAGAAAATAATGTAAATTGAGAAAGAAGGAAGAAGTAAATGAAAACAATGGAAATCAAACAATGGTTTAAAATGGAAGCTGATTAAAGAGAATTAAGTGAAAAATGAAATGGAGAAATATGAAACAATAGAGAGAAAAAGAGAAAATAAGAAAGAAGAAAGGTTAGCAAAATGGGAAAGGATGTTTCAGAGAAAATAATGTAAGCTGAGAAAGGAGAAAGAAGTAAATGAAAACAACGGAAGGCAAACAATGGTTATTTGTGAGGAATCTGAATTAACAGAATTCTGGAAGCATATCACAGAGAGAATATGTATGAGAAAAAATAAAAGGAGTGAGTTGTGAATGGAGAATCGTAGGACGAGAATCGTAAGACGAGTATCGTAATCGTGAAGACGTAAAGAAAGTATGAAGAACAAAGAAGATGATGATGATGACGATGATGATAAACAGAAAGGAAGTTACTAAAAAGAAATGAACAGAAAGAGAAATATAAAAGAGAAAAATAAAACAAAAAACCTATTGCAATGTCCTGATATACAAATACTTGGGTATCGATAAGAAGGAAAATTATGGGATTCGGTAAATCTAGAGGAAATATGATCTGAAAGCCAGGTATTGCTGGGTGAAAGTAATACAAAATAGATGATGTAAAATTGAGAGAAATGAAATTCTTTATTCAGTAATCATTTACAAGCATTCATGATGCATTTGATCATTGTACATTAATAGCGCGCGTTGCGATTTTCGCGTTTGCTTGACGAAATTGCGCCATTGTAGCTTGCGTCCTCGTACATCGGATGCCACGGTGGACGCGGAAATACAGCACCTGCAAACACAAAAGGTATGAGACAATGTATTTCTGGAACATCATAGCTCAATTCATCAAGAATTATTGAATGTTGGTGAGCTGAGCTATGAGTGTCGTAATACTATAAATAAATGCTATAACTTTTCGTTATATCGTTTTTAAGGATGAAAGAAGTAAATTCTTGAATATTATTGATGGTTACAAGTATTTATCTGTAGGAAAACAATCTACAAAACATTATTAAGCTATTACTAGGCAAGTATTTTTTAAAGAAAATGGCAAATACGAACATTGTTTTGCAGACAGCTAAATAACTTGCATTGCGAAAAAGTGCCGGAAGACCAGAAGAGATAGTCGTAACTTCGTAAGCGCGTTACCATATTTACCTTATTCTAATAGAAGAAACTCTACGAAGAGCTTAGTTGAGCTCGTTCTGCTGGGGGAACCAGGCGGAGCAGGCCTCAGCAGCAACTTCGCACAGAGCAGAGAGGGCTTTGCCGGCGGCTGCGGCTTCATAGTCTGGAAGAGAGAGAGATATGGCATAAGATCTACTTCGCGTTGCTGAGAAAAAGATGCCACAGCTTGGGAGTTCAAGAAATCGCACGTGCTTAGAGAACACCGCACATGAACCACCAAAGTCTAAATTACATTTCAGCTTATCACTTTATTTGAATTGAATGACGAGTTATTCGAGCACTGTGTACTGCTCTTGCAAGTTTGCTCTGGAGCAAAATATATCATCCACAACACGCTACCGTGCAACAGAACGAATTCGAAGGGAACCGCGCGACTTGAGACGGCAGGCGACTTCTTTTTACGCAGAGGAGCCGCACGCATCGTCTTCCCCTTTGAGCTGCTGGCAATGTATCACTGAAATTACATCCACCTGCATCCCGCGTCGCCCGGGCAGCGGCGGCGACTCACCTTGAGCGGAGGCGGCGGGGGCGGGGGCGGCGGCGGCGGCGGGGGCGCGCTTGCCGAAGATGGAGCCGTTGAAGGGGGGCTTGCGGTAGGAGGAGGCGGAGGGCGCGGAGGCGGCGACGAGGAGCAGCGCGACGCACAGCACGGCAGCGGCGCGGAGCAGCGCGGCGAGGGGCCGGGCGGAGCGGCGGGAGGCAGCGAAAGACTTGCCGGCCATTGTTGGGCTGCGAACAAGAGAGCGACCATGTCAACACAGTGGAGGAAGAGAAGGAGGAGGAGAACGACAAGGAAGCGGGAAAAGAAAGGGTGGGAAAGAGTGGATGCGTCCTTAGCGTAGTACAGGTAGGGTCAACAAGTGTTGAGCTCTGCACAACAGAGATACCAAGTCAACTAGCAAAGAAGAAGAAGAAGAAGAAAATTGGCAAAGACATGTTGGGAGAAGGGCGAGGATACATCATTGACACAGGGAAGATATCACCGACCATTGTCGGCAACAATGTGGACAACAGAATGAAATATCAAAACACCGAAAGACAAGCAGGAAACATAGAAAGGAATGTGTGTAAGGAAGAGAAGGGAGAGAAACAGGATAAAATGGTCGGAAAGCAGATGTTTTGTCGACCATTTTCGGGCAGCGGAGAGCGGCAGTGTAAAGAATCGGAGAAGAGGAAGGAAAAGAAGGAAGCGTGCGAGAGAGAGAGAGAGGGGCGTAGGAGAAATGGGATGCGATGCGTCGCTGTCGCGACGAGGCTGGGAAAAAGGGAAAAAGAGAAGGCACGACTTCGGGGTAAATTCGCCACCCGAACGAAGTGACCTCGAGAAGCTGAAAGCAGCGGCGGCGAATTGAATGAGCTTGTGTGGCGCGCTCCGTGATTGCTACTCGAGACTGGTCTAATTTAACTGCCACGCGCCACAAAACTAAGACATCGATCTGACGCTAGTACCCGATGACGAGAATTGGAGCTGCTTGAATGCCCTGTTGCTACAGAAGAAGCATGCTTTGATTACTTTTCCGATCTAATTATTCACACACTACCGGTAATTAAATTTAAGGATGTTGTCAGATTACTATTTGGGAGAGAATTGATGCGTACTCTCTCAATCACTGAAACATACAATGATTTTTTCGTTGCGTGATGTATTATAGAATTATATTCATTTTAAAACTATTAATAAATTCGTAACGTTGTCATCCTTCAGCAACAGACGAGACTGATCTGTATTACTTCTTACAGTCAAAGAAGCGGTATAGAGAAGGCAGATGTTGTACAAACTTTTTCACGTTCAACTGTTCAATTACTAACTAAAATGCATCTAATGCATCTTTCTATCAAGTGATGCAATTTATGATCACTGTCACTCCATGATATATTTATGTATGATTCACAGTGTTCAGTAATTGCATCTACACAGGCCAATAAAACATATTCTGTGTAGCTCTTACACGTTATCACGGACTCTTTCACTTGATGCAGCTAATTTCAGATACACCAGAAACATGAAACACTTGAACAGTTATCTGGCTCAAGAAATATTGAAATAGTGAGTGATGTGAATTGCAACTAAGAACCGCACCAATGAATTTGTATCCTAAACGGCTGTATATTATGTTCCCTCCGAGTTACTATCTGCGTCTCGAAAACAATATTGTGAACAACTATCCATAGCAAACGATCAAGGCAGCTGTTTATCGGTCTTGAAATACACGATCACTAAGATATTTCACACATTTCCGCCGACAAGAAAACAGAAGTACGTCAACAAGTGGCAATCCGAAGCACCGACCGTTTCTTGTAGCGCGGTGAACTGGTAAGGCTTGTGCGTGACACTTTCGGATCACTGAAGCGCCTCCGAATACTACCCGCTTCCGGGCGACTGCGGGCTGCAAGGAGCGGAGCGGAGCGGAGCTGGGCTGAGCTGAGCCGAGCCGGGCCGAGCGGAGCGGAGCGGCGAGGCGGACGCCGCTTACCTGTGGTGGTGGTGGTGGTGTGTGGGCTGCGGTGAGCGAAGAGATGCTGTGGAGCTGAGGAAGCTGAGCGACTGTATGCCCTAGCGTCGTCCGGCGCAGCTTTTATACGCGGCGCGAGCCCGCGCGTCCCGCCACCGCGCCCCACCGCGCGCCCCCGCCGCCCCGATCATTGCATTAGGAGTGGGCGGCGTCCCCCGGGGATGCTACCCCGCCAGTGGCGGCGGCGGCGGCCACGCTCCGCAACCAGCGAGCCCTGCCGCGACCGGCCCTCTCGCACCGAGCGGCGCGCCAAGTCTCCGTAACTCAACTATTAATGGTTTTAATTGCCTAATGCAATTTATGCCTCTTCCGCCCTTCCCACACCACAAGCTTATTACGGACATGTACAGAATGCGGTGGCATGTATTGGGCCCACGGCCCTTCTAACGGGTGTTCAAAGGGGCGACTAAACATCGAATTACGGCGCCTGCGATGTTCCGCGTTGCGGTGAAGCGAGACACGGGGGCGAGTGTTTTGTTGTGCAAAGGTGAAGCCACAAAGGGTAGCGTATATTTATTTTGGAAACTTCAGCGTTCACAAGAATTAATTTATATCATGAAAAAGGTATTGTACGTAAAATTTGAACATGCTGTTTCAAGACAAATATTACCGAAAAATGTCGAAAAGATTCGTTAGTTCCAAAAGACTAAAAATTATAAAACTTTTAGTAAATCTTCACTTGGTCGTTAGTACTGCGAATGAAGCATATTCAACAATGGAGAAATCAGCCGAAGGAAAGAGGAAAATCCGTTGGTAAAGTTAGATGCCGATGTGGCTCCTAACTATTTGTAGATAATTTCCTATAAATCAGCCCATATCCCAGATGGAACAATAAACATGTTTCCAGCAACAATAATATCATTACGACGCTATAGCAATTGAGGAACAACAGAGACAATTCGAGAACACAGCACCGCCAATGAACTACTGACATCGAGTTTATTGTTTATTTTCTACTTTGCCTACATGTAAAGAAAAATTCAAAAGAACAAAAAGAGAAAAGGATGCCGGCTATAGATTTATAGCCGGCGCGAGACATGCTGTAATGTCATGGTTGTCTGAGTGTGCCGAGCTTTAGCTAACAAAGCCAACTGAGCACCATAATAGTATGACTAACACCACCCAAAAGAAATTAGGACATTACCCGCCAGTAACCTCAATTATGGTAAGCATAAATGTATTGTGGTATAAATGCATGAAATAGTTATTTATGAGCCAAAGGCGTTATAAGGGTTCTAATGATTGAGCGGTAACAAAAAGTTCGAGGGGATTTTACCTCAAGGCTTGTAGACGCCCGAGATCTTTAGAATCAGTTACATACAAGTGGTACATACAAGATTTTATATTAGATCTAATTTTATTGATACAGTTTTACTTATGTACTAATTAACTAGATGTTAACTTCATACAACTTGTCTTTTCATTTTTCTCTCCCGTGATTCCCTCCATAAGGGAACATATAACATCAGTAATCTGTTTTATATTTCCTTCGTAACCTAGATTATCTCGATACAGTCAGTTATGGAGCAAACGTCGAGCTCCTTATCTAAGGCAGTAACAAAAAATAACGTATTAGTAAAAAATAAAATAACTAAACTGAGGGTTTCATATTTGCTGCATCGTTTTCGCCCCTTCCAATTTTCTTAATTTCTTTCGTTTGAGGCCCCCGACCCTCCGCCAAATCTTCATTCAGACGCATCGGGGGCCCTTTTCGATTTGCTCATTGAGCCAAACGTAACGACGAGCATGCAAATTAGTCTTTTGACTCGGTCGGGTTGCTTCCCTTCGCGAAGCGCTTGCCACGGCCTCTATCCGATGGCATCACCCCTCCGGCTCCCTATCTCCTAAGAACGCGCACAGCTCCAGCCGGCTTTCAAATTTCCATTTCCCCGAAGACGTTATTGAATCCATCAATTACTCACTAGCTGGAAGTATTCAGAAAATATATTCACGACAAAATTGTTTACGAGGTAAGCTATAATATTGCGAGAGGTCTAATCGAATGTCATTATGATGTTTGTTGTATTGTATTGTGTATTGGGTCTAAGAATTCAAAATAATAATAAATTGTTGTTGTTGTTTTTTAGGTTTTTAGAATTCTCACATCAAGTGCTGTTGTTGTCTTTCCGTAATTGACTGTTACTCTATACATTTAATTTAAGAAAAACAACAAATAGTAACGCATAGGCTTTTATTTTTTGATGAAGTAGATGACGATGTAGATAAAATTACAAAAAAGAAATTCATTTATTGTATTGTCGGTTAATTGTATCTGCGATTCAACAAAACAAATTTTGTTTTTGCTTTGATATAGAATGATCGCAACTTGTGTGTTACAAGGCACTGCTCACTCGTACTCGTTACAGCTTTTCAGTCTCTAGCATGTTCAAGTACTCTGGGCCCATGGTGGCCCTTGACAGTTTCGCATCGTTTCTTGACGAATGGACAGGCAAACGACATGAAATGGTGTTGCAGAAAGAAGGTATTATCTAGTAAGCAACAAAAAGCAGGCATGTTTGAGGAAAATATTCTACTTAACACATTTATCTTTATAGTTAATGCTAGTTGGCAACAGCATATCTACATTTACTATGTATGAAAGAACTTAAAACATAAATGTAATTAATTATTAAATGTTGCTCATATTTCTTTTTGAAACGATGGACCAGAAGAATGTCATGAATTATTATGATATCAATACTGCTCCTACTTCTGATATATTTACGTTCTGTGTGTATCTTTCACTAGCTGTCATTGTAACAGGAATAGAAAATGGTTTCACTATTTCTGCGAACGTAGTAAAAACAATACTTTTCATTTCCACTTCTTCACATAAATTTCACTCCTGTTTAGTCGTTTTATCTTCAAAGCATCTTCATCTTTCGACTTCCCCTTCCTCTAGATTTTCAACTTTGCGTTCTACTCTTGAAATCGTGACTCAATTACTGACGATTATATAAGTACTAAGAGTCAGGGCCCCCGATTTCGTGGCCAAGCTCTTGTCACTCGTGTCGCCAGGGCGATCTGAAACCTTTCATACGAGACTGCATTATGGCAAATTTGGTTATTTTGTATTAACCGATAAAGTGCTTAAGCGAAATCATCTCGTGCAAAAATATAGTCGCGACTATTCACGGTACAGGCGTTGTCGATAGCAGTCCCATGAACAGAAGCGAAAGGGATAGAGACTCAACAGTGTCGGATTTTCGACATAGCTATATCGCTGGGCCGATTTAAGCCGCTGTCTGGAAGAAAATTCTAGCGAGTGGCTACCCTGATCGGTAATTTCCGTGATTTCTTCCGTGATTTCTAGCATCCACTACTCAAACGGGACTAATGGCGCTACCAGCTCACGCGCCCGGAAACAAAACTATTAATTAATGTAAAGCATAAAGTGCCACCATCGTGTATGTGTGTGTGCCGCTGTAAGATGGCTATAAGAAACAAACATTAACAAAACTACCAGCCATTAGAATTCTGTAGTTGAATTGCAGACAATTTCCGTGTTTTGTAACATGTGATCGGCAGCTGGTCTTGCGAATACTCAGTATAACCCGTGACGTATTTGAGCAAATGAAGTTCTCCTTTTCAATATGGTCATGTTTCCAGTTCACATCTCACAACTCATCTTTAGAGGCACATTTTCAAACACAAACATAGGCATCAAATGATGTAAAGCATGTCGTTATCGTTGACACAACATACGTTGGTCACGAAACTGGTCACTGTTTCACAGAAAAGTTTTGTCTATTTATAATATGGACATCTTCTAACGTTAACATGTGAGTAGATGATTTTATTCATTGTTTAAGCTTAGTTTTTTAAATGTAGATAAACAGGATGTCACTATGTAGTGTTTAAATACGTGACACTCTTATTTACACGTAAATGACTAAATAATTAAAATGAATAAATAATTAATAATCAAATCAGCCGTAATATGTAACATTCGAAACGCTTTCATATGTTAATAAACTAATTTGTCATTTTACTCAGGTACAGCTTGCTAAATCTTTTCAAAATTCTCCAGTTGAGGTATTAGTGTTTGCAAGACACGAATGAATTGAAAGTATGAATATAAGGTAACACTATCTGTTATTTTACAATTCCATACATTTTCCACAAACGAATTCAAATGCTACTTGTAAATAAAAAGCATTTGCTCGCAAGGGACATTTGAACATTAATGATGATTTAACCTCCATGTCAAAAACACGTTTATTTCAAACGCTTGGAGAACAAAGACGGTATAACTCTTGCGTGTAAATGAAAGTTTCTTTAAAATTAGTTGCGTAATTAACCCCACATCCTGTAAGAAAATATCTGGTGCTCTTATTTCTCAACTAAACAATATTATGAAAACACGCACATATTTAAAAAAATGTATAAAATTTGCATAAACTATCTAATATGTATAAATTTTTTTACATTTCTAGAAATTCCAAAATATTACGAATAAGGAATAGGAATTGATTAACAATATACTCCGAATGCCAAACGTCATGCTCTGAAATCGAGGGAAAAGAGTCCTTCCTGTAGCCCCGGTCTGTTAACTTTACATGTTTGCGGAACTGTATCATTGTCATGCACCACGTGTGGGAATACAGAGAGGTATAGTGCGAGATTGCCATCACATCGACAATCATTAAAAAAATTAGATAACTGGTGGTTGTAAATGGCAACAAATGAAGTTCGCGCTTTTATGACTTAGTGTATCTCGCAGAATTGCTCATAAACACAGCAGTCTCTCCATGTTTCTCAGCACACGTTTGGTCTCCGCCCGGTCTGAGAGTAAATCAATAGACCTATTGTCATTAGCAATTATATTCGTGTACAAATGAGTAATTCGCAAAATCAATATATTTCAAGCAAAACAATCAGTATCTTCAAGACAAGTCATCCAGCTTCTTCATTGGCGTAGAGATCAAGATTTTGCTCTTCATTGACATTTCATGTAAAATGTAGATTTCCACTCTTTGAACGCATTGTAGTTCATGAAATCCTGGAAACTACTCGTTTCAATCTTATTGAAATATTTATTTTTTTCGCAAACTGTAACAT